AAAAAATGGGGATTGGTTGTCACTTGGGGTTGGAAACGGGAGCACATTGTTGGCAAGCTGTCTTCTACATTGCAAGCCATCTTCACCTCTGGAATCCTCCCAACTATATCCGAATAAATGAGCTGGTAAGATAGCCAAAACTGATGCGATCCAGCTGTCCCAGATAACGATGATGATTTACCTGGAGACTGCAAGGACACATTATTCGGTGTCATAGTTGTTTCAAACGAGCAAACGCGTCCCGAGCGTTGAAGGTTCGTGCATTGGCCTTATCTGTCACACTACGATCAAAACTAATACACCTTCGAATGTATGTAAAGCACTGCATCAAACTACTTCTCCAACTGGATCAGAAAAAACCTGCTATCTTATGTAAGCTTTGTTCTACCACTGAGAATTTCCTCGGCCAACGAAATATATCTTCTTCCTCACAGAACTGCACATCCAAGCCAAAACATCTCAAAAATGGCGTCCGTCAAGGGAAGGTCCAGAAACCGAAGCACTTCAGTACAGTGATGTCTTGGCACTGCTATACCCATTCCGATAGCACACCCGCAACTGCGCACTTCCCTCTCTTGACTTTACTTTATTTCCCACTTGTCCCATTACATGCAATTACGAACAAGCTCACGTTTTATTCTGACTGTAACCTCCTGATCATGCCTGACTGTCCTCCACCCACCTGTTGGAATAAATATCATTATAATAACGTTATACTATGGGTACAAAGTGCACGCCAAGTGACAACATAATTAAGATCACCACTGATAGAAGAGCAAGAGATGCTAACAGAGACTCGCCAAATACATATTATATGGCGCCACAGACGCATCCGGTTTTGCAAGGCTTCGCGCTTTCCTTTAGGCTGTAACAGCTCTATGCTGAGGTCAACTCATAGTACAAACACGCAGCAAAAACAGATATCTCTGATCTGACGTCTCTGCGAGCTCTAAGCTACCTTGGTTGTGCACAATCTATTCAACGCAAGTCCCTCATAATCACGTATGCCAACTCCAGTTCACACCGATCGCATACCTGAATATCGATCATCGCTTTTAAACCGGGCGGTGTCGGACCATTGAACTGGTTAGGAATTGTGATAACTTTTGACTGTCTATTATTTTGGGAGGCATTCTAAATCACATCAAAGTACTTTTTAGCAAACCTTCTTGATATTTATTCTTTTTTGGGTCTCAAATATAGGCATGACTATCTTACTGCCTCGCTTGAATGGCAGCAGTGAACCGCCACGAACCCTCGATGGACCCAAGGATATCCTAACTACAATGACAACCATAAAAGGCTCGTCCAAGATGTTCATGTTTGGGGCTGCCCACAAACCGAAGCACGGCATCGCGATGACGGTACCGCGACTACCATACTCAGTCTGATGGCTTGTCCGTAGTTCACTATATCCATACTATTTCCACGAGACCGTTCCAGTCCGTTTGATTTGTGCTAGGACTTGAAACCAGTGGCCATCTGCTTGTTCCACTCACAAATCCAATAGTTCACTCAACGGCAATATTGGTGGCTCGGCATACGGGTGAAGTCAAACCTTCCCTCAAGCCGGACCCAGCGTATGTTGACCATCACAAAAAAAACGAAAACACTTACTAGCTGTGACGAGTTCCTTGGCCTAGGCGGAACGCTTGCCGCATCCAAAAAATTTTCCATATTCCAGGTCGCGAATGGCCTCCCCAATTTCAGTTTGCGCCGACGTCATAGGCGCGATTATTGTTTACGTCGTTTTGAAACTATTTCCAAACCCAATACAGAAGCGGCAGAATTCCCACGCCCCTAGTCCGAACTTAGCTGACACGACGTCCGTTACGAGACTATCCAGAAACCAAAGTGGATCGGTGAAATGATAGAATTGTGCTGCCATGCCTAGTCCGATGGTGCGCCCGAAACTACTTCCTTCTTACTCTTTACTGTGTACTCTGGCTCACTCCTTCCTTTGCCTGGAAGTCCAAACAAACTGTTTACCTGGCCACCTATTTGACGAAATTGATCTAACACCCTGAACCACTTATTCCGACATAGTCATCCCGGTTTTGCGATTTCAGTGGGCCCCTACCACACGTTTAACCATTCGACGATGCTCATTTAGCCCCATGAATTAGCTCTACCTCCCCCTCGCAACTATCTGTTATGCCCGACTTCCCTGACAATGACCGCGGTGAGTCTACCCAGTTTTAATGTAAACCATAATTCCGAGACGAATCTTGACGTTTGTCATCAATCTGAATTTCTCCATCTCTTCATTTCCAATTGTGCTTTTCGTAACCCTGGCCATTTGTTCAACTGCCCAATGTCACTTTCGGCCAGCAACGGCACTTCAGTTTTAGTTCAATTCAAATGGGTTAATCATTGAACTAGTCCTATATCATACCCTACTGTCCTGGGTCTTCTAGTTTTCTACAATCCGCGATTACTTATCACCTCTTATCTCTTATCTCTTTGGTCTTAACTTCCTCTCCTTGTGTCGTTTTCGGCCACGTTCACGTTGTAACGGCCGATCCTGCTAGATTGGTATGCACCCTACACGTTGTGGATAAACATAATTATCATTTTTACCAATTTATCGGTGGTAACCAAATAAGTTAACTAACAACCGCCATTAACCAGGTGCAATACCCTAAAAGATGACCAAATGCCTCCAGTTGTCTTGGGGTTCCAAAAAATCTCTCGCCTAATTCGTTTCCTGATCCGGGAGAAACGAACCACTTCAAACAAACAAGTCAGCATGATACAACACCGCGCCCACGACCGTCCCGACACATCAAACTGCTCTCTCAGATGGTTCGAGGAAGCTACATATGAGTCCGGACGATCGGACTATGACATCACCCCTGTGGCTGAAGCGGAAACATGTTGTCACTGCTTCGTTGAGCGCCATTGAACAGATCCGACTCCATTTGTGGCTTTGGCGCTCATGGAAATGCCCTTACTGGCCAACTAAATCACAACTTTCTTTGACAAACGACTCATTACACAAACAACCTGGATATAGAAGTAGACGATTGGACTAAACTACTGGATTCTAGGTGTTCACAGATTTTCCGAAGCAAATCGACAAGACTGATCACGGCCTTTATTCAACTAAACTGTCTCACCTAAGAATCATTGGTTCTCCCAGCCAGCGGCTTCACAGCTCCCCGACCGGCAAATCTTCAATGATGGAGATAAACGCCTTTTCTTCCCAGCGTCCAGCATTACCCGGATAACCTCAGGATCCTACAACTGACTTCAAACGGTCTAACACTCACTGATTAATGAATATATTAATTAATATATATTAATGAATATATCGTCCGGATCGTCTACATGGACATATCGAAATATAGAGACCTGTCGCCAGGATGATGATAGAGGATATCGACGCCCTGGACACCTGATAAATTTAGGAACATTTTCCCTCATTACTCATAAATGTCATCTTTCCCATACGGATCATTAACACTAACCATGCTAGAGGATAGGCCGACAAACTCCGGAAATATCGAAAGACTTGGAAGATCTTAGGATTTATCCTGACGTTTCACCTGACGTTGAGCTGATAGCCAAGAGGGCTTGTGAAAGACTTTAGTCCGTAGAGTGGAGGCTGTCACACTGAAGCCCGAAGTTTCGGAACCATCTACAATAGCCTCACTATATCCAGGTTACAATTCACTGTCCACGCTATTGTTCATTATTCAAATGGCTCCTTTAAAAGCGGCCCAACGCGTGTCCGCCAGAAACGCAAGAGACCTTTCCCATAAACAATATGGGCATATAATACTTCGCAATGACATATTAAACAACAATGACGGTGGTACCTTACACCTGCTCACAGAACACTGAAGCACCCCCAAGAGTCCGCTCATATTTAACTGGTGCAGGCATAGAAGAGCGTACATTCTATCTTTATCACCAGCGCAAACGCCTCGGAAAGCCCTTGAAGGTTGGTCTCCAAAGGGAATTCCCTTTCCATGGTGATGGTTCTGACGAAAAAAACTCAAACACCAATGAATCAAGAATTTCCACACCTCCTTCTCCCATCGGGGACTTGATTCATGGGGAAACTTGTTCCAGGAAATCATCCAAATGGGCGAAATTGAGCGTTAACAAGGGTGTCAAATTCATGATTTTATCACATCATTGCGACTCGATCACATACCTGAGCCTGGTATTCCATCCATTCCAGCTCTGTGGACCAACATTAAACGGAATATATGATGCTCAGAAAAGGGACGAAAGAAATTTCAATTAACTTGTCCACAATTCGCCCGTCACCAAACAACAGCACTGTCACTCATCACCTTTCAACATTCCATACTCTCCTACACTGTACGGAAATACTGAATTGCGGAGGTAGATCTTTAAGTAACGTTTCGATTCATTGGATTCCCCCAAAAACCTTGGGCCAAGGAACCTACTGGTGTGTACAAGGTGAACACTTGACCTTGGAGCGCGCGGGCTGTTGAAAGAACGACAAGTTGGCCTTTTTCGTGAAATGGTAATTTCAGGAACCCACGCTCATTTGCCTGTGCTACTTTCTAGGTGCTGCTTGCTGCTTCCATATGCACGAAAGATGGGAAGGGTATGTTTTTCATATTTATCTGATGGCTGCAGCTTTGCTTTCCCGACAGTTTGTGGAAATGACGAAAGCGAGAATTGAAGGACTTATAGCTACTTTTCCGAAGTTGCTGGGTGAAGGTGAGTTTCAGGTGCACGTTTCGGACAGACCTTTGGGCAGCTTGCGTTTCAAGAGTTATGGCCAATATAATGGTTTCTTGGAGGTCTGTTGTAGCCTAGGGAGGCGTCTTGCCGTCTGGCAGTGTTTGGCCAACCTCCTGAAAATAAGCATGGCATCCTTAGACGTTCTTGTTATCATCGCAGCCTGGCTGAAATCATTTCGGGGTTATCTTTTCACACACTGAAGTCACTCTTTAGGAGTGATCACTTGTCTCCAGCCGTAATAGATACAGTGGTAACATGCAGGTATATCTGGGCCGGGGGGACACCGCTATATAAAAGTTTCGCTGCGGTTTCACTGAGGTGCCGAAAGCAGGGAAGAATCCTTTGTCATCTTAATCGCTTCCCGTTCGTTGCAGGGTTGACTTCACTGTGGATAGGTGTTCTGCAGGGCCTGTTATAGATGGAACGAACGGAGTACTCACCAGTTGGGATTCCATAATTCGTTGTCAACATACCCGAGGATTTATAGGTCAAAGAGGGACTGCCGGGTATAATCTCTGTTCAGATCTAGCGCTCTTTCGGCGCCATTCGCAGCCACCCTAGATGGCTGCGGTTAGAGCGTGAATTTACTGACCGAAAGGCCCGTGGTTCGAACATGGCCTCTGCATCTCGACTTCTACCCAAGTTTGAGAAACCTGGCAGTATCGCAGCCCTCGTGCTTCCTCCGGGTGACATGATGGCTAGACACCGAAAGTGTGGTACAGCTGAACGATTATTTATCATTATTATTGTCACCCGAAGGGGGCATGGGGGCCGAGATGCCTTCAGGTTGCCCAAGCCTAAACAGGAGCAGTCGAGATGCAGCGGGGGGTTTGAACAACGCTTCCTCCGGCCAGTAAGTTCGAGCCATCCCGCTACCAGCCTCTGACGATGCTGTCTAGGGTGACTGATGATGAGGATGATGGTGGTTGTGATTTCTGTGGCGATGATGATATCATTTGGGATGACGACGGTTAATTGCCAGTTCCCTCACAAGAACAGGCAGGGGCGCATAACTTGACAGCAAAAGCTGATGAGTGTCCAGGTTCTCCCATTGCAAATCATGGGCATACCTCCATTGAGTTTTTCGCAACAGATTGTGACCTCTGAGAAACGTTGTAGAGTATCTGGAGTCAACGCGGCGCATAACAGTTTCATTAGGTCATCACTACATCATATTTCAAGCAGTCAACCTTGTAGGATCAAAAAACAGTCGAAATGGAGTAGAAATGAGTAAGTGGTGTAAGTTCCACGTCTCGAACTGATCTCTTGGTGGTATCTGAACACCACCGTTTATGGACATCATTGGTAACGAAGTGGAATAGAAACGGGATTACTGGACAGTCTCATCGAATCCATTTCTAAATCGCGTGAAGCCGTACATTCGAACTCGTCCAGATGTGTTTAAGCAGAGCGTGTTCAGGTTGCCAGCAATTTTCAGCGAGAGTCCGTTTTCCGCGATGCATTTCTGCGGGATAGTCCTGTTAATTGTATTCAAATCACTCTTGATATCAAGGAAAATAAGGAGAGTTGATCTTCGGTATGTTTGGCGAAGTTTCAGCAAGTGTCATGTCCTTCCGTATATCTGGTGTTTTGGTTCATTTGAGATTAAAAATTTGTCTGGACATGTTTGGTCTAGCTAGATCGACAGTCCATTGTGTACATGCGTTTAGTTGGGAGGTGACTAAGGACACGTGAACTATTTTGCTCGACCTCCAATGCGCCTAGATAGGATGACCATGAGTTCACCTCCCTCATTAATTGCTTGAATTATATTCAGCCTTTTTCAATTAACCTGCTGATTTCAGACAGATTCCCCCAACACTCAGAAGCAGATACAGTTTCCATCTTGGCATCGTTGTTCGATCACCACGCTCCATGGTCTTTCATTAGGGGAACTCCGAGTTGTAATGTGGTCAGCTCAATGGCCTGGTGGCGTTTCTAGCCGGTGAAACGAACTGCTGAGAACCGAGCTGTTCGAGATACCCATAGCATGGATAAACTGCGTTTAGTAGGTGACTAAGGACACGTGAACTATTTTGCTCGACCTCCAATGCGCCTAGATAGGATGACCATGAGTTCACCTCCCTCATTAATTGCTTGAATTATATTCAGCCTTTTTCAATTAACCTGCTGATTTCAGACAGATTCCCCCAACACTCAGAAGCAGATACAGTTTCCATCTTGGCATCGTTGTTCGATCACCACGCTCCATGGTCTTTCATTAGGGGAACTCCGAGTTGTAATGTGGTCAGCTCAATGGCCTGGTGGCGTTTCTAGCCGGTGAAACGAACTGCTGAGAACCGAGCTGTTCGAGATACCCATAGCATGGATAAACCCTTGTCGGATAGTAAATCCACGCGTATTAGTGCCCGCAGTTTGTAACGCTCCTCGGATGTTCAACTGGCGGTTTGATCTAATCAGGACAGTTAGCTGTGGAGACCGAAGCTAGTTGGGCCTGATAACTTCTCAGCACTTTTGGTTGCGCTGGCTACAGTAGATGAACTCCCTTAATTTTATTGCTTGGTGTGTTCACTGAAGCGAACATGAGTTTTTGTACTTACCAAGGCATGACCGGAGCCAACGTGGCTGTTCTGATTAGAACTGCACACTTGCAATCGGGAACTGATTGCAGTGGTCTATTTGTGTCCTCGGTTTCTCACTGGATGGAGAACTCCCAGTTACTTCTGTTGAAGGTGTGCCGGAAATTGGCGCCAGACGTGAATAACCCATTCTACACATATCGGTATCAGATACTGATTGTCACTATGAATACCGTCAAATTATTGGTAGACATACACATATCGGTATCAGATACTGGTTGTCACTATGAATACCGTCAAATTATTGGTCTCCTAGGATGTGCCCATGTTTGAGTCGATCGACCTGAGCGTTCCTGCATCAGGTTAGTATCACAACACTCATCTCTTGAGTTTTATGGATAAACTCGTCCAGTTGGAAGTAGAGTTCATCTCCCACGTATTCAGGGCGGACGTCATTTGGCGCCTAAGCAAAAACTCTGGTCCAAATGTCAGATCGAAGCCCTTAATTTGACTTTGAGTCCAACAGTCCATAGCGCGCAGTGTGTCGGAATCCAGTTAACCAAAATAGATTATGCAGCTAGCCAAGACGCTATCGTCTCAGGGCTCCTGAACGTTCCCAAACTCCAGGTTTAGTGAAGTACTACGGTCGGTTTCTGTAACACAACAGACCACCGTTAAGAATTTCCAAGGTCCTGATTGTTGGTTGGGCTGCAGAATTGTAATCACATTAAGGGTGGCTAGTTTGGATAACCTACAACGGTTCGGTATGGCGCTTTTTTCTTGTTCTGGATAACAGGAGTTTGGCCACCTGTAGCCGGAAACGGGGAAGACCACAAATAGAATTCTATCGTGGACAGTAAGCTAATTGGGAATTTGGTGCGGATATGTTTTGTCTGTAACCCGAGAGAACAAGAATTGTTTAGCATCGAAATGAAGTGCAATGTTTAGTTCGCATATTTGTGCGGACAGGCTGCCTCTCAGTCGCCCTGGTTTAAGAATGGGGTTTGCTTGGCGGGTCTCCGTCCTAGAGCCTTTGAGAAACCTGACTCAATGGACTGAGGCAAGGAGCTCACAATCATCTGGGAGCAGATCAGTGAGTCTCATCTTGCACGGCCTTAGGGTAGAGGCCAGCTATTGAGGATGTGTAACAGATTCGTCAACCCATACGCCTGCCACTTAGCCATATCTCTTCTGACCTGTCTACAGTGATGAACTAAGGCTGCTTTATGCCTCGTTCGTTGGTGGTTTACGGTTAGAATTTAGCTGTCTCCCATACACAGACAACCAATGGTCTGTTAACCGTGGTAAAGTGCTCGGTACCCGCTTCCGTCCCTCACTCTAATAAAAACAGCTACAAGGCGAGTAGCATTTTGAGATACACGAGGAGGTCAGCGCGTACTTCCGAACTGTACTGAGACGTTAGGCATTTTAGTATAGAGTCTCCCGTAGAGTCCCAGGATTGCTTGAAGTTTTGTTCAGAGAGAACATTCACCAAGGATAACTCATGGGAATCGTCGAGGAGAATCACTTTCTATGTATGGACTAGCGCAGTCGGAGGTCATATATGACCTTCAGATACTTTATATTACTCCGCTTTAGGTTTTGACATATTAGTATCCTCCACGCTTTCCTCAGGCTCATGTTTGTGAACTTATACCGTTTAAGGCATAAGAAACGAATTCCGCTGAGTCTGAAAGGTCGTGTGTACAAAGCAACCCTAAGAGCAATCTTCCTCTTACTGTGAAATGTGACCCTTCTGATCGTGAGACCTTAATCGAACTCAAGCGTTTGCTCATCCGTTCCTTCGTGGAACAGCATACCTTAGCTAACCACAAGTTGTTCGAAGTGAGGTGATGAGCAGCGAGCACCTGGTGATGAATAGGAATCACTGGGGCAGCAAGCGAAACCCATCGGGTTAAGGTGGTTTTGGACATGCACCACGCATGTCCAGCTGCCCGCTACCAAGGAAAGTATTGCTTTTATCTCCAAACTTATTGGAGAAATAGTCGAGAGGGGCAGATCACGATGTGGTGGCTCCTAATGAAGCTGCCTGCTATCAGACTCAGTCTGGTGAAGTTTTTACGTCTCCGTGGTTGATATAATTTTCCTTGCATAGGTAACACGTAACCGGTCATATTGTCGAGTATGTTGTCACTTGTGATATGGACTGTCCGGCTAAAATTTGCTTGTCACTGAACACGGCTCATATTGATTAAGGTTGGTTGACCTTGTGTCAATTCGACTGATGATGTCTTATTTCGACTTGATACGTTTTTCACGGGAGCACAAGGCTGTGCTTGTAATAACTTTCTACCTTCTCCATTTCTTTTTACTCCTTACTAGAACATTCTCGTGAGTGTATGGCAGTGAAGCACCATTTTTTAATACTGGTGAATCGCTGTCGATGATGCCGATTTCTTCAGACTCCATAGTATCTTCCTGCCAACAAGACTGAGTGGTTGATGATGATGATGATGATGGTGAATGATTTCCGGCTTAATTTTCGGGGAGATTCTCGCTGATATTCATCCACTAGATAAATTTATTCGCGCCCGGCTACGTTGTATGTTTATGATCCGTTATCACTCGTTGTAGCTCGATGTCGTGCGTAGTTTGTCACTGCGGATGAATTCTGAATTTCGGGTCACCGCTTCATACGCTGCGAAGAGGGTCGACAGTCCTTGAAATAGTTCACCCACTATTTAAACTGTTGTACGTAAAACGCTCGAAAAAAGAATGGAACCACAGTGTGGCCGAGGATTCTTTCCCCGGCTAAAGGTAGCCTTTGCACCGCGGTCCTCCTATATCGGGGCACCATCGACGGAGAATATCGTTGTGGCGAGGCACTACAGAAGGACAAACTTATTTTGGTGGCCCGGCTTGTGTAATCTAAACCACCCTCTAATCTATGCTAGGAAGTTCCAGAGTGACACGTGGAAAGTCTCCTACCACTCAGACTCAGTGGTAGCATATTGACGGGACAATCAAGGAGTTAGGAGAATTCGATCCACAAACTTTCTGATTGGAGTTTATGCTTTAATCTCTGGCCTAATCCCCACCTGAGTTAAATGAGGCCAAATATGGGTATACATTACTAGCCAACTGCTTTCGTCGGTTCTGTACTCGCCAGTGTTGCAGCCGATCAAACCAATAAGAACAGCAGCTAATTTGAGCCGTTATTTTCTAGTTTCTAGTTTATATACCAAAATACGCAGTACTTTGAGGCATTATCGAGCCTTCCCGTATTTTAACTCACTCATCTGGTTGTTCTTTTTATGCAGGAAAACAGCACACTTTTGTGGAAACCGAGTCCGTCCGTTACGTTTATCAACCACTGGAGCAACTATTTGTTCTTTTAATCACCACCAAGGCGAGCAATATTTTGGAAGACCTAGAGACCTTGCGTTTATTTGCTCGAGTGGTAAGTGATGCCGTCGAAAAAAAAACATTTCCCGTTCCGTACTACCTGCAAGTTTCCATGTAGTTGGATTTGGCTGTCACCTTTTCTATCCCATCGTATAGAATTCTGTCTTGCATCATCAATGACAGCAACATCAGTGTTGGCACTGATGCTTTACTGCCGGACAACCATAAGGTTCATCTAGTTATATTATATTATATATATATATACTATATATATATATTAGAAGTACTATAGTGAAAAGAAGAAAAAAAGAGTGGGTGAGGGAGGGGACCTAGTGCTGGCCTTTGTCAAGCATTATGAGGTGCCTACACCTCAAACCGCTCAATCAGACAATCTGGAAAGAAACTGACATTTCTTGCAACGTCCCCAGCCAAGCACAGGCGGAGTCACGGGGACCCCATCCTGGAAGGCGTACAGTAGCAACAACACCCAAACCCTCAGTGATCTCTCACGCCTTTCTGCCAACTCATGTGCTGTCCATTTCGCGGTTTGCGCCATTCTGAAGCATTCACGGAGAAGAACACTGGCCTCGGTAGACGGTGTCTCGGCATGCGTAGCAGATGACTGAGCCATCGTAGTCGGTGGTACTGGGTGTTTTCCCGAATTGAGGTACCTGCAGCACAACCAAATGCCCGTTTTCAATCACCTCGTTTCCAATATGCTGACGCCATCCAAAACTTGCCACGCTTCTGAGGCATCGGTGGTCGAAAACCTGAAGAAGCTTCACATCATCTGTCCGCAGAGGCCATGTCTCGCACCCATACAACAATACGGGCCTTACTATAGCCTGGTACACACAACTCTTAAGACCTAGTGATGTACCTTTTTTGACGCCACAAGTGACGCAAATTAGCTAACCTGATTCGAGCCTTTGAGATTCTTGCATTGACTTCATCAGACACATTTCCGTCAGAGCTAATGCAACTACCGAGGTAGGTGAAGTTTTCCACATTCTCTGGTGATTCTCCTTGAATTGTAACGGACATATTCGCAGATGGCACGTTTTGAAGCATGACTTTGCACTTTGAAGGTGAAAGGCGCATGTCAAAAGATGATATGATGGCGGTAAGTTTATTCAACAGGGATCGTGCTTCGCTATGGTCTTCAGAAATGAGGGCGATGTCATCTGCGTACTCCAGATCGACAAGGCTCTCACCAGTAACAATTCGAACACCGGGGTCTTGAAAACCGTCCAGTGCTCGCCTCATTATTTCATCGATAACGAAGTTGAACAAGAATGGAGAGAGTGGACATCCGTGTCGGACACCACTTTTTGTAGGGAAGCTTTTGGAGAGCTCACCATGCACTCTCACTCGCCCATAAGTACGTGAATATAGGGATCGGATTATGTTTACAAACTTCTGGCGCATACCCTGTTGAGCAAGTGCAGTTAACAGCACTGGTCGATCGACAGAATCAAACTAGCATTTGAAGTCAAGGAATACAAGGGTTGTGGGTCGTCTATGGCGTTGCTCTAGCAGCTGACGGTGTGCAGATATGGTCAACGCAGCCTCTACTGGGTCGAAATCCCGCCTGATTCTCACGGGCCGCCGTAAGACGACGAATAATCAGTGACGCCAGGAAGCTCGTCACCACAGACATCAAACTAACACATCTGTGGTCACTGCGTTCACTGCGAATACCCTTTTTTCACCCCAGTTGTCTGGGACTGTCTCCTTCTCCCAGACAGACGCACTGGCTGAGAAATCCATCGCCATCCTTGAAAAGAACAGGTGGGAGGTCGTCAGGACCAGCAGCACGATGACGCTTGAGTAGAGAAATACATTCAGACACTTCTGAGACTGAAGGCGGCTGCATATTTACGGTCCACCTTTCTGTTGAAGACCAGGATTCTGAATTGGAGGTAGCAGGAGTTCTGTCTTGGCGAGACCGTTTTTGGAAATCTTGCTGAGTCTTCGATAGTTTGCGATTGTAGACTGTCTTGATGCTCTGCTTGGAATTCAGGTCAGAGTTTCCGGCAGTCGATACTGGTGATTTGCACTAGACCAGTTTTTCCATTGGAAGTCACATGTGAGGCCTTTACACAACTGATCACTCGCGTAACACCAGGAGATTTGTTGCCTAAGGACTGAAACCACTGAGCCGTTGCCGTAAGGTTCATACCCTGAGCGGAATTGACTTTATCATTGCGTATTACGTTGTGACAAATGTTTGACTGCATAACCTGGCTCTACTCTTCACTCACCACGTCGTGAGCTCGAGATAGCTCGATAGTTGAGGTTCGAACTTACGGTTCGGATGATGTGTTTCAAACTCGTGGTATTTCGATTAGTCCTGTCTGGACTTTGGGCAACCTGGCAGTATATGAGCCTCCTTGCTTCCATTGGGTAGTACGGCAGCAGGCACGGAAAGGGTGCTACGATTGAGCTATAACTCTAAACAGTTCTGTCCACCTGGTGCTGCGAGAGTACACCGTGACTTAGGTTATTGCAGAAACATCATGGTCAGCTGTATGAGGATAGTGTCTTGTCCCTCTCTCGCGGTAATGGTACAATTTTTTCCAGGACGTTCTGATTTGAATCGTTTCACAATACTTCGGCTGCAGTGGTCCTAGTGACTACGGTTTTATATCAGCATAGACATTTGTTCTCCTTTCCTTACCCTGTCGGGCCTGCTGACTTAGTGATAATACTGATCACCCTTCAGTTGTAACACCATTTCGGCTCATAGCTGCCATGCCACCCGAAGGAAGCACGAGGGCTGAGATAGCTAAAGTCTAGAGGGGCAGTTGAGACACAAAATTTGGTCTCGAACCACGGACCTTCTGGTCAGTAAGTTCGCGACTTGAACTCGAGCTCGCGAGGATTTCTCTTATTTGATTCCAGCTATTCCCCCCCCCCCAGAAAGACCGTTTCCACAGTCGTCTTTGTATCCGTGCAGTTGGCACTCGACTGGTTCGATCGTGCCAACTTTGGTCGTACCCTTTCCACACTTGTTTTGACCTCCGTGCTTAAGTGGAATGGATCGCTTTGTCTAAAGCACAACTGAACTTTGGACCATGAGCATTGGTTAGCTGTCTCAGACATCCATAGGCTGGAATTTCAGGTTGCTAGGGCCTACTTCGATTCCACACATTCAGCATTTAGGCGGAAACACTTGCTGCTTTGCACACTTCTTTATGAGTACAACGTGGTAGTCTTTTTTCCTTAATTTTCAGATTCCAGAGTACGCTTGCGGTACATCCGAGGCAGATATTTTAAACAACGCATTCCAGTTGATCTTCGCTTTCGATGAGATTGTAGCCCTCGGTTATCGTGAGGATGTCAATCTGTCACAGATACGAACTCACACCGAGATGGACTCACACGAAGAACGTGTATTCCGCGCCGTGCAAGAGGTATGTTCGGTTCGATAAATACTCTCGCTTGCATGCAGTTTGGTGTTGACAGGAGACCTAACTGAATCCAGCTGAATCTGTCAGTTATGGTAGTCCACTTCAACTGAATGTGCCGCACCAAGATGCCTCATATTCCGGTTGATCCACTATTCGAAATATCCCGATACATTGATCTCAAGGTTGCTGAAAACTCTTCGACAACCCCACGATCGATTTTGCCCTCTGGAGTAGGCGCAGTTCCCGAGCCCCATAGGTTCTTGAACCCAAATTGAACAGATTTCGACAAACTCTCATTTGCACACTGATTTCGTTTTTTTGACAGGAGACTCAACTTAAGCTAGCCTAATCTCTCATTTATGATAGTCCGCTTGGGTTCAAGCAGAAGATAGTTTTGGGGGAATCTCTGGGACTGCGCTTACCACAAGAAGTTTGAAATCGGTCGTGAGCTGTCGAAGAGATTTCAGCAACCCTATTAGTAGTGTGTTGTCTTCAGACTATTTTGCTAGTTTCTCACGTGTGTCTGAGTAACATTCATTGTTTATATAACGTCGCAATAATGTGGCAAACCTTGCATCCGAGATTCTTAGCCACATGATACCACATGCTGCTTCATGTTTACCTATAGTGCGGTACTGTATTGCCCGTCCGCTAGTTCTTTTTATTTCTTTTTCCTCCAGTCGAAAGAACGAGAAGCCAAGGAGCTAATGAAACAGCGAGCTCGTGATTTGCAGTTGGCGCGTCAAGAAGCCGCCAAACGTGGCCAGGGTGGTGGTGGTGGTGGCCTAGGATCAATGCGGTCGCTCAAAGCTGCTGTAACCGGCTACGGGAGTGATGTTGGCAAGCCAGGTAAGCTGTGCATTTGATTTTTACCTTTACACGGTAATCTTAAGTCCCGCTAGTTCGACCAAGTCGGTGCGATGTTGCGGCTTCCCGACAACTCGAACACCAGTGAGCTCGCCAACGTTGAACGCCTTCGTGCACTCAACACGGAACAGTAAAAATTTCTTGAAAATCGGTATAGTTGCACTACCCATGTCAAGAACAGTACCTCAACCTTTTAGCTTTCATGGGGATAACTCGTGCACTAGGTTACTGCATTTTAACAGGTCCTACTCCCTCTGGGTGCTGGTCACCAAAGCGTTTGCTTGTGAACCCCATATTGGCTTGGTATGATGCCGTAACTGTACTACTGCCACCCACAAGCTGCCTGCTGAATTGCCGCCGTATGTTCAGTGTTTGACAGCAGAGAAGCTCGAAATAACGGAGTTTCTGAACAGAGCGTCCACCTCATCTCGATTGCTTTTGTTTGTACTTTGGCAAACTGCCTACGAATTGCATGGCAGATATGTCCACAAAATGACACTGATTGAATTAGTTGATCTTTTCCATATTTAGTTACAATGTTCAGCCAACCATAAAGACAACTGTGGATTTGTTGATCCACTGGAAATCCGTTCTAGCTTTTCGAAAAGCCTGGCCATGAGAATGTAGTGAATAGAATTTCTTCAGAAAAGATTACCTAAGTGGATCTTCGGGTTGTACTTTAGAGGGACCTAGACCAGTTTGGGATTCACACCCCGCCAAGCTAGAATATCTCGACAGTCGTTTGTCAGTAATATAAACTTTTATGTTTTTTGTCTATTTTGTTTGTTTGCACAAGTTTTTTGGGTTCAGCCACGCCGACCACCACTGACCCTATGATAGCCTTACACGAGGCCCACGGCCTTGCTCCTGGGTTGTCTTACCAACCTTCTGTTCAAATGACTAAGTATGTTCGTGATTTTATGGCGTGTCAGTCCATTCGACGCTTCTGTGCGGCTGTGAAACATGTCTCTTACTGACTAGCCAGTAATCGGCGTCAATCTATTTACGCTCTTGAAGTAAGCACAATTTTTAAACTCACTATCTATTTTGTCTTGGGCGTTGTACTTCCCCTGGTGGTACTGCCTTTCAGACGAGTAGTTATGTCGATAATTTTCTCGTATTTGGATGCTTTCAGACGAGCCTCGTGTGGTGGTGATGCGTGATCGATTTGGAAACGAGGAGCCGGAATTCGGATCCGGAACGACACCTTCCAATTTAGTTCCTTCCACAAAGCGCAGTGGAATGAAGCTTGGAGGCGGTCGAACGGGCACAGGTGCCGTCGATCAGTTTGTCGATCGTCTGAAAGCAGAAGGTGAGGCAGTGAGCGAGGACTTGGCCAAACTGTTGGACAGTGGGACCGTGGCTGAGCCCGGTGGTCGCGTCCGTCGAGTCACTGATGAGCCCACACCGGTGAAGAAAGAGGAGTGAGTCCTATTCTCCCCCACTGCTTCATGACCCGTTTTTATATCGTGTTTTAAACTGTTCACCCATTTTTCTCTTCTCAACAGTCTGCACATCCGTATTGAGGAAAAACTATCCGTTCAAGCCGGACGAGACGGCGGTCTTGAACACTTTGAACTTCAGGGGATCATGCACGCCTTAGCTGCTTCTTCGGCTGCCACAGAAGCTCGTGTGCGAGTAGACACCACGGAGGCACTGAATCCGCAAAACGAGAAACAACCCCCAGCTCAGCTGCAGACTCACCCCAACTTGGACAAGAAAGTGTTTATGGTGAGTCCATCTTATTCTCGTCTACGGTTTTCTCTTTTCGCAAGACCGCTTCATATAGCCCCTGAATGAATCCTTCTATTCTAGGTGCGGCATTCTTTCATCGTTGATGGTAATTTCGCTTTATCTACGCTTGTGCTTAGTACCTGCGTTCCGCTTATCTCGAAGCTCAGTGAATGTCCTGGCTATTCGAATCACCGGGTACCACACGTGTGCCTGTCTGCTGTTCAAATCAGTTACACAGTGTGGGCTTATTCACAACAATCCGTTATCCTAGCCTGTTTGAGTAGTCGAATGTAATATTTCTTCTCATTCACCCTATCGTACGGTTCGCCATTCACTGCTATCCGGGGACACTCACTTCTCCCCCCTTTTTTGTGTGTCACAGACTACGAACTGGTTACAAGTCAAGGCGGGTGGTAAACACTTCCCTGTCGGTCAGGAAGTTGGCGTTCTGCGTTGGCGGCTTCAAACCCAAGACGAGTCTGTGCTTCCCATCACCAGTGAGCGCCCAACAACGTTTTTTTCTTCATATTATCGTTCTGAGCATTGCTGTCGACCATGTCGCACATTGCAAGTTTAGTTCCTGGAGCTAGTGTTTTATCACTGTGACTCTGTTTACAGTCTTTCTGGTTCATTGTCGTCATTTTATGTGCGTAGACTGTAGTAACGGTATTTCTCTCAGCTTAGTTCTCGGTCTGAGCCTCCCAAGCTAGCGTTCACTTCAAAAACAACCACAAAGTTGCACAGGGTATGTTAACGCCCCAAACGAAGTCCGGAAAAGTTGTACAGCGCTTCGTATATATGGTATAGGCGGTTATAACTTTCTGGAATTTNGCGTTCTGGATGCGCCATTGGCAACTGGCATTTGGCCAATACTGGGTCATGATTGGCTGTTGGGTCCAGACTTTCGACCAATCGGATCTCGTCTTGGTGTCGGACCGGCAAGCGTCCCGAATTCTTGGCCAATCTTGCGTGGGGTGGACTTCTCGGCCGTAGCAGCACCTGAGTGCGAGTAGTAAGGAGGGATCCATGTAGAATTCCGCCCAACAGAGACCAACGGCGCTCGTCACAGCTTTTTATGTGTGGATGTTTGAAAAGATACTCTCGGAGGCAGCCGCGTAACGCTGTATCGTGAGAAGGATGGTCATTTAAACATTTTTAGCTGTCCTAGAAATCAAGAATAGTTTTGACCAACTTTTTACTGATCAGGATGGTTATGTTGTCTTTACCCAAATTAGAAAAAAATTGAGTGTGGAGAGAGCCACTAGGCTCCACGATCGCTTGGCTCGAAAGTCCATCTGGTCTAGTCATTTCGCCTGGGTGAGATGGCTCAGTGGTTAGAGCGTAAATTTACTGACCGCAAAGTGCGAACCTGACCTTTGCCTCTCGACTTCCCCTGTCTAAGCTTGGGCAACCTGGCAGTACGAGCCCTCGTGCTTCCCTCTGGTGGCATGGGAGTTAGGCACCGAAAGGGTGCTACAGCTGAACGATTTTACTCATCTCGCTTGATTTATCTGACTCCGTTTGTCTTTGAATTTCGTCGAAGAAAACTAATCAAGCTACCCTCATCTTGTTCTTCTGGTCGGTTCATCGATTCCAGCGTTGTAATTGAAATAGCATGCAAGCAACCATTTAGATCCGTTTTGTATAGAGTCGCTCCAGCAGTCGGGGCTGTTACGCTGTTCGACACTGAACACGCTGTAGACTGTCGTTTTTTTCAGGGTTACTGCGGCGTTCGGTTACATAAGGCCTCAAGTTCTTCAAGATACAAACTGCCGGTTGCACAAAGCATAGACAATAGTTTGAGTTTTCTGGAATATACTGGGGACACGATGGGAAACTTATCATTTCTGGTAAGAGGAGTGCGGTCCCGATCGTGAGTAGCTCCCTTCTATCATCAGAGAACGTCCAGAGTATGAATGATAGTTTCACCATTCTCAGCATTTTCCACGCTGCGATTTTTATTTCAGTTAACTGCTGGCCCAACGAAATCAAAGGCGGGTTCGAGGTAAATATTGAATACGAATTGCAAAATACGGAGTTGGAGCTGCAAGATGTGGTCATTACAATCCCGCTTCCGTAAGTTTTGTTTTTCTACTGCCTGAAGGGGCTTCCGTCTGTGAACTGAATCGATGCGGAATTTGCACTCATATCGCTGTCGTTTGAACAATACTTTTTCTGTCCTGGTGCGATTATTCTGTCGAGTCCAAGCCAAGCACGAGATCGCTCAGTGGTTAAAGTGTGAATTTACTGACCTGAAGGTCCGTGGTTCGAACCCGTTCTCTGCCTCTCGAATTCTGTCCACGCTTCGACAACCTGGCAGTGTCCCAGCCCTCGTGCGACCTTTAGGTGGCATGGCAGCTATGTACCGAGAGGGTGCTACAACTGAACGGTGGTGTTAACCAGCTGTCATCGTTCACACCCGTTTTCATTGCTTTTGAGGTGGACAAAAAAGACACGTCGCATTGTTACTCGTATGTTACCGGTTTTGAGTGATGGTCAAGTAGAATATCATGATTGGCCGACTGGACCGCTTGGTTGCCAACGCCAGTAAGCAACTGCTACCTATTGATCATTTTTGAGGAGGGGTCCACACTTATGATATAGCTAATCTAGCCTAACATGAAAGTTAGGAGGTGGCTTATCAAACTGCATTAATGAAAATCCATACTGAGATGGAATTAGCATAAAGGGAGGGGTAAATACTGCTGTATTTCAGTCTTAAAGCCTCCAGTTCGTATTCGTAATTTGTTATTCCACACGCGCATGATAACCAATTTCAGATCCGGTTCGAAGCCTCCAGCGGTTGGCAATTGTGATGGCGACTACGAAGTAAACCCCCGAAAAACCCATATGGATTGGCATTTGCCCCTGATCGATGCGAGCAGTCCGTCTGGTTCCATTGAGTTCACTTTGAGCACCGAGCGTGGCACCAAACCCGATCAGTTCTTCCCGCTCAAGGTGACCTTGACGTCCGACAAATCATTCTGTGGAATTCGAGTGAGTTGCTCCTTCTCATTGTTCATTTTTTGTGGTAGTGGTATAGTACTATCGTACTTGGGTTACCATATACAATTCCTGTCTCTTTCGAGCGATATTAAACAAAATAATCGACTGGGTTGAGCATTATTTTATTCTCCATTCATGGCGGTCATCCGAAAGCTATCAGACATTTCTCTGGCTGCCTGGATGAGTTTGTTCTGTATCGCACTCACACTTTCAGGCCTGGTATTCCAACCCTTACTTACAAGTACTCATTCATTAGAATGCATCTAGACATATTGTCTCAGCATTCTATCATCATATTTTTTTATGTTAATCAACCATTTTCCACCAAATTCGCCCCCTCCTCTCATTTTTGGTCTACACTAGCTCATGTTTCATCAATTCTGTACCTTTAGTTTGCCCCCTTCTTTTCGAGCGGCACCCAGCTTCTTTTCTCCTCTCAGTCGTTTATGCCCTAAGCCAACGGTTTGGTGACGGCACTGAGCAAGTCTAGTGGCACCAATGAAGCTTGAGGCACAACATGTCGCATCAGACAAAGCGCTGTTTGTGTTATCTGTCTACTTTTCTGTGGCACTCCACTCCAGATTTTTGGAAATCTCGCATATATATTGTCGCACCCTTAATTCATATTGTGCCTGACTTTATTCATGTAGAGATTTTGTGGAGTAATTCCTCCGGCGGATTAACCGTTCAAACAAACCACAAACCTCTCAGAAGGACATACCGGTGTAACGGTGTGTACTACTGATGAAAGATACGAGTAGTTTCTAGTCAGGTGTCAAAACATCATCCCTCATCTGATGGAAGGTGATGGTTGGTACGGAAATTACGGGAACAGTTTGCAGTGTTTGTTCGTCGTTGCTTAGTAGTTAAAAAACATCCAGGGAAGTTCAAGAGGACGCTTAAGAATGTCCACTTTTAAAGTGTACTTTGCAAAGGAGATTTTTGATTTTCGTGTTCTTTTGCCTGTAACCGCTTAGCTCTTGTTCGTCAATAAGAAAGAACCCGCAGCGGATGGCGTTTATTTTTTTACTGATGTGGTTGTTGGATTAGTTCTGTGCGCTAACTTCCTAAATGGGGTGTATGAACCTGTTCAGCCCTTTATCACCGTCAATGCTCCGCGACTTCGTGCACTACCGAAGGTTACTACACTCCTTGGCGTCCCTCGTATTTACCTGATGCGTTAGTACCAGAGGTTCGAACCCATTTCCGCGGCTTCTTGATCGTGCTTAGCACTTTCTGCGTCGGATACACTAAACTAATACTTCTGACTGTTTGATTCTATTTCTTTACTCACACGGTGCAGTTCTACATCCCAATAAACTCTTATTTTAGGTGGTGGAGACCATGGATCCCCGAAACAAACCGGTGCCGTTCTCAACTGAAACTCGGTTCTATGCGGAAAAATATGAAATCGTCTAGACCTATGGACTGTTGGCAACGGCCTCGTGCTTTCTTTTTTTGCCAGAAACTTCGAGGAGGTTTTGTGGTAAATTGTTCTCTCCACTTGATCGGCACGCGGTCTCTCCTCGGCGTGCATTCTTGCTCCTAAACAGTGATACCTGTCTTTTTTCGGATGTTTTCTCCCGTTGCCTATCTTACTCCAACTTTTTCAACAAAGTTGTAACTTGTTTTGTGACCAGGCGTGGTTTTCTTTTCATTGCCAGTCTTTGGGGGTCATGATTAACTCCGAGGCAGCATATCACAACTCCATGCCTACCCTGGTACACGTTTCAAGGTACTGTCCGAGATTTTAGATAAATCTTTTCTCAGGTCAACATCAGTACTTTTACACGTGCGCCTTATTATGGATTAGTCCATAGTTAGCATATTCTATTTCCTGTCAAAGGGAACTTTCCTACCGCGAAACGACCAGTAGGATATCGTACGATTCTGAAGAACCACATCAGGCTAGAAGAATTACCACTTATGTTGCAACACACCGCTGATTCAGGGTGTGAGTACAGCTCATTTAGCAGCACCAAAACTCCAGTGTTCGGTTTTAGGGTTCGTTATCACATCCCGTTCCCACTATTACTCAGTATCTGGGACTACACCCAAACAGATAAGTTAATTCAACTGCGACCTAATGTACTTGACGGGGCCGAGATGACCCAAGTGGTTAGAGCGCGCATTTACTGACCGAAAGGTCCGTGGTTCGAACCCGACCTCTTCCTCTCGACTTCCCCTGTCTGAGCTTGGGCAACCTGGCATCATCCCAGCCCTCTTGCAACCTTCGGGTGGCATGGCAGTTTGGCACCCAAAGGGTGTTGCAGCTGAACGATTAATGTAATGGACACCGGACTCATTACGGTGGAATTAGACCAACGTTGCTAGATGCATCTTACAGAAAGACGGTCGCTCCCCAGTATGCAATGCTTTTTATTGCAGTTCGGGATGATCGCATTATTTGGCCCTAGTAGAGTGGGAATTCGCCAAATTTGATGGGAAATTGTCCGAACAAATCAGAACGGTTATTTGTCGACTGATTCGTAAATCTGTGAAAAGGAACCCACTGAATGAACGCTTGGGTGCTGTCGGTGCTACTCGCTTTCCAGGATTGGGACCGCGTGATCCATCCTCACTGTGCCTGGTCGGGGACACTACAAGATATGGCTGCCAACCGATGTCAGTGGCGTCCTTGTTGTTAGTTTCTATCCAGATTGCCAGAGTGAACGTCTGGAGGTGTAGGCACCGCACCTCGGATGTGGTGAGCTAGCACGAAGTCCCTCCACCGTCCACTTTTACTCTTTTCTTTACAATAAGGCTTTCAAATAAGTCATGGTTGTACGGCAGTGAAGCATCAGTGTTGAACACTGATGTCATGCTGTCGATGCTGAGGATGATGAAGACTTCTATTGCCAGTTTGTTACAGGTTCATCCACTATAGTATGTGCAACAATGGTGCGCTCATTCTGATGAATAGAAGGCACAGGGGTTCATGGAACTTCCACTGTGGCATTTGACTGCATCGGACATTATTCCTTTGCTTAAAATCGGATTTTTCCGTCGCTCGGTTACCGTAAAGTGTAGGCTCAAATTCGTGCTCCTCTATCAGGAATTCGGTTGGCTGGATGTATTGGTGGAGGTCCAAATTCGCTTCGCTAAGAAGAAAGTGTATTCTTCGCTCGCTACCTGTGATACGTTCGCTCAAAAGGGCGATCACTAAGCTACACAATGGCCGTATCACGGTTTAGTTGAGACGATACTCGAGATACTGCAGTACATTGTCTTGATGGAACACGGTGCTCCTAAGGTTGCTGGAAACCCTTCGAGAGTCCTTTTTTGGGGCTCCTCAGGTAAGCGCAGAACCCGAGTTTCCGTCAACCCCATTTCCCGCTTGAACCTTGTAGGTAGTCGAGACAGTATACTGCGATATATATCGTCCCAGCTTTCAGTTGAAGAATACTTTCTGTAAAAGAAAGATTCACTTGGGTCTCCCGTCAAAAGTGAATTAGTTCGCAAATGGCAGTATATCTCGAGTCACGTCCAATTTGAGTTCAACCAAAACAAGGTTGATGAGAAGTCGTGGAATGTACCTACGTGGTGAGCCCAGTTGGAAAGTTTTCAACAAGCTCATGAGTCGCATGCTTCGTCAAGAATAGCAGACAATTACTTAATTCTTATACGGCGCCAGCTTTCAGAGAAGCGTCTCGATATATTTCGAATCGTGGTTGGGTATTACCAACGAACAGCTGAAATATATCGGGCCCGCTGTGCTTTTTCGAACTGTTCGTGGAAGTGACGGTATAGTTTCTCTGACAGTCCCACGGTTTCAAATTCCAAGCAAACTCAGGTTATTCAGCGCTGTAAGGATAGAACGAGACCCTGGCTACAACATGGATCGTACAGTTCATGGACCCTGGTCTACAAAAGTGGAATTTATTTTTTGTAAAAAATGTTATCAGCACATTCCGTCGCGCTTTTAGAAAGTCCAAAGGGATTTAGGTATCTGATAAGTGGCCATGTGATTAATATGAGTAAATGAGACCTTCGTTTGGAAGAATGTTACGAAGTGACGGACCGTATAAAGAATGGCTAGTTTTAAACCCATCTGAATTCGAAAATATGTTTGCCAATAAGCCTGAAGGATGGCGAACACACCTAAGACTTGAATCTCCTGACGGCAATTGGCTGAAGTTGTTAAGAATATCCACAGATCAGTGATTTGTAACACAGGGACATTTCAGTCGTTTCGTGGGTGTTTCTGCTCCCCAACTAAATGTTTAGGTTTGTGGTGACAGTCCAGTCATTCAAAGTTTGTTTTCATCTCAAAGGTCTGGATTTACACACACACAAACACGCCCGTGGTACCGTGCTTCGTAGACTATTGGAAGGCGCACACCACTGCTCCCGCACCCAGTCATGTGAAGCTGACCAGTTCAAAAGTAACGATTCCGTAAGACCTAAAGTGAACAAAATGTATAACATTACCAGACCCTTTGGCAGGATCGGTGGACATCGAAATCCCAGAATGGGAATCCCTGAATAGCGCTTGATCAAGTGACCGTACTCTTGAAGGAAACTACTTATAAGGTTACTACCGAAAACTCTCCGAAAGCCCATGAATGGTTTTGCTCTCCTTGATGCTCATCACGCAGAGGAAGAATCAGATCAGATTGAGCTAAAGCTCCCGTTCCAAGCAAATTGGTGTGCAAATGAGTGCATCTCGTGAGAATCATACAAGCTTTCTATTATTACGACAAAAAAGTATTGTCCTAAAACCGGCTAGCTTCTTCTCAAAAGGTCCACTGACTGCTTCCAGGAAAACGCTCAGGTGAAAAAGTGATTTGGCTCGAAGACAAAATCCGCGTAGTCTTCGGTGAAAAGGGTAACGCTAATTATTTGATCATGAAAGTAACAGAGAAACGCCGGACTGGCACTTAATCTATTCACTCCGTCTATTTATCCCCTTGCAGAGTAAACTCTGAGCATTTTCGCACATCCTATTGTAAATCCGATTTCGGGAGAACTTTTATTGTCCACTGATATCTGAGACTGGGTCTGTTACACACATCGACTTCTGGTAAACCGTATTCAGATTCATGGTAAGCCGTGTTCAGATCCATGTAGTGGAACGGGAACCCATCGTCTAGTTTTCCTGTTGAAATTTTATTCTTCGCTATATTCATTCTACTGCCAAATTGATAGTAGCGAGAATTTGAAAATATTATCATCTGGCCGCGCAGGCTTGTTGACTCCTGGTCCTCGTGACTAAAATAAGGTCCAAATGGTTGCTTTCTCTGCCCTCCAACTAAGGACCCTAACTGTCCACTCAGCTCTTATTTGTAAGTTTTTTCAAAGTAATTCCTTCAATTTTGAAGTCACTGACTCTCTGTCACATAACCCGGCCTTTCGGTAAGGTGTAGGGAGGAAGGCACTTCCCCGCGGAGTTGTTTCTTAGCCAACACCAACTGAACAGTTACAAACTATTGGACTAGAAAATAAACGTCTCATATACAATTTGTTCTTAAAAACTAAACCTCCTCACGTGCCTTATGGATCTTTCGTGGATATTCATTGGCTATCAAGAAATTGTAAACGAACGCTGCAAAGGAGTTCCACCACTCCCGTAATAAACCTCACCTTCCCTTTGACGCGGGGCCGAGTTACGAGAAAACTATGTACTACTCGCATATCCCATCAGTAGCATCGACCGCTATGAGGCACGCCTCAACATGCTGTGGATCTTTGACGATTGTCCTCATCGATCATGCAATCAGTAAACACTCGAGTACCTTCCATATCCTTACCCAGAAAATTTTGTCGATTTTATTTCTACCAACGTTTCGGTTATACAGCAATCTTTATACCAACTTTTATGGTAAAAATTCACCTATCTGGCGCACACAACACTTGTTGACTTGGTTGGACTTAACATGTCGTGGTTTCGGCCAGATCTGCGTAGTTCCGCCATGCTGATAAAAAACGTATTCGAAACAACAGCACTGTCAACAACTCAGCATTTAAACAAGGATCCAGTCAACCTGCCTTAACCAATCCTTTTAAATCACGACTCATTGGAAGCCAATTCGACATTCCTGGTTGTCTTGGCAAGCTGACAAATCACACGTTTCTACTCTTCCTCTATCTTTTCTACTCTTAAGTAGCTTTGAAAAATCCATGACATGTGGTATCATCAAGCACGCCTGCTGTCTACGGAAGCACTTCGGTATCAACTGATTCATCTGCAACGCAGTTTCAACTGGATTGTCATTTTGCCTAGCTTCTTGTCGCGATTTCTGAACCACATGTGACTTAAACTTTTTGTCTGTCCGAATCAGTTGACAGTACAAAAATGCCAATCAAGGTATCATGTTTTCTATGAACGGGCTCATTTGTCGGAGATTCTGCCACAACTCTAACCTTAGTGATAAGGTCCTTCGCAGTACATCCACTGTCTGAGCGCCTCCATACAGAGCATCCTAGTACCGAGTACTTGAAAAGCAACACAAGTTCACTGGAAACTCTCAGGAAGGTCAACTTCCTGAAAGCAACCACTGAATGCCCGGAATCTACGGAGACTCTCAGCTGCGCTAGATGTTGACCAGACAGACAACGCCCCCTCAATATGCAGCACGTTACAGCCTTGTGTCGAACCCAGACAGCGCGAGTCAGCGTTGATCAAGGTCAGACAACGCCCCCGCAATATGCAGCACGTCACAGCCTCGTACCAAAGCCAGCAGCATTGGACCAAGTTCAGTGTCCCTCCAATAAATAGCTTGAGACCGTCGTACTTTCGCACTCGCTTGTTAGGAATATAGCTGTTGTGTTCCCTTCCCTTCTGTGCTTTTTGGCCTTAGGCGCTGGAGCGGGGTCAGCAGTCAGATATGAAAGATTTAGCGAATCAGCAAATATAACATAAACTGAGCTTGACTGGAAGGTACAACCATTCCTTGAACTAAATTAAGCCTATCATACTATGTGTGACCAATGCACCATTGAGGTTTCTTCTCGACGACACGCTGAAGGATGGTACCTTCGTCGAGAACGGATACTCCATCCGCCTTGTACCAAGAACACCTCAGATCAGTATGGGGACAAGAACAAACCAGTCTACCTCTCTTTGTAGACGTTCCGAACAGACAATAAGACAAGCTACTCTGTAGCAAATTTACAGGTAACCTGGTAGAAGCATATTTTGAAGGTACCAATAAGTGATAAGCTATTGCAACAATCATGTGTACTTATCCGGCTGTCCATTCATGGCATCAAACATTGGTCGTACAACAAAACTTTTGTCTGACAAAGTGCGGAAGCACTACTCAATCTGGTCAGTCCGTGGAACTAAAATTCCCGTCCTTATTTCAATCGCCAAGCATTCGGCTGACTCAAACCGTACTATCGTTTCATACGGAACTCTTCTGGGTATCCCACCCGGTTCCAGTAAGTCCCTCACTGCTCTTGCCGAGACAGTGTGCATCCGGGTGTGCACACCCAAACTCTATGCAGAAAAGCAATTCTTACGCACATTCACACTCGAATGGGCGACGCCAAATCTAAACCGGAGCAATCTCCGAAAAAACGGGATGGATAACACTGATCTTCTGGGTTTCAAGTTTCGCGTAGTCACTATTACGCAGCCCCACATCGAATATTACTCAACTTATAGAAGATCATCTCTAGTTATCACACACCTGTGTATATTGTTGTAAATGGTCTGGGAACCACACACACCAAATAGTGCTTGTTTGTCACCCCGCTGTTCCGCTGATGTACCCCTAATCACAGTATCCCAGCGGTTCCCAACTGGGGAAGGAACTGTGGTATTTCCATGTAAGAATTGAAGAGCACGAAAACCGTAATGAAAATACTAGTAAACTATTGTCATTACTGATACTAATGGTAATGATGTCTCTATTCATGTAATTGAAAATTACAGAAGCTTTCATTAAAGAGTGACTGAGGTTGGTCCTTGTCTAGAACTCGTTTGGATAGGACAAACCCTGGGACGTCAGTCGTCAACTTCCCACGACCTTCATCCGAGAGCCGTCTAGACTTTTCCTTATCAGCTGAGAGCAATGACCTCGAAATGGTCAAACCCGATCACCAATCAACCACCTATGAGTTCTCACACGATTCTGGATTTCCGCCACACACTTAAGATAGTCATGCTCAGAATTTAGTAAAACATGTTCGTCATGCGTCCAAGCTGCACAGTCTGTTTTTTTCCCACTAAGATATGTACATAAAGGATACTACTCACAAGGTTGCTGAAAATTGCTCGACAGCCCACGACCGGTTTCGGCCTTCTTGGGACTCATCAGGTGAGCGCAGTCCCCGAGTTTCCGTCAGCCTCATGTTCTACTTGAACCCAAATGGGACTGTTTTTGAGAAATACACTAATTTGCGAATCAATTTGTTTTTCACGAAAGACCCAACTGAAACAGTGCAATTTGGATTCAGGTAGAACACGAGGTTGACGGAAACTCGGGGACTGCGCCTACCTGATGAGCCCCAACAAGAACGAAACCGGTCCTGGGCTGTCGAGGAGTTTTCAGCAACCTTCTGAGTAGTTTCCCTCATGAAAATATACTGCAATGTCACGAGAGACTCAGTTGAGTCTCTAATGAAA